CTTGATAAATTTGATTTGGGATGCACACATACTGAAATAATGTGCGGTAATTAAAATAGGCTAAATCACCAAATTTATTACAAAATAAAATGCACATTTCAATACTGACATGTCTAGCTGTAAAGCAGTTTTCTGCGAGTACATAAAAAACAGTTCTGACAAATTTAATTGCTGAATGCACAGCTTTCCAAAAGCACTTTCAACAGTTCTGCCTTGATTTATGCATATATACAATCTTAACCCTTCAACATTAATATAAATGTGTCACAGAATATTTAAAAAACGTTTTATTTATTCACACTGATAACACGAGCAGAGACTAAGAATTGATCCCACGTCTTTTTGTTTAAAAAGAAGGTGCCAGGAAGAATGACTAACATAGCTATCTTGTCCGGTCTTTACATTAAACCATGTCAGAATCTAAAGATGCTCTTTCAGAAAACATGAAAATGAAATGATAAAACGAACATGTGTTAACAACCTTTTATTTTAGCAACCTGCAGATGCAGAACTACAAATATATACATACTGTATGTCTTAGTATACCTTGGATACACATTTCGGTGAGTAGATTCCTGTTAATATGAAAGGACTGGTTTTCAGCCCCACCTTCCTTGGTTTTCTAGGTCACATTCAGAGGCCAGCTTCACGGCTAGTGGCACCTGAAGGTAAAAAAGACAGCAGGACCATGCCCTAGCGGCTCTGAATTCATTTCTCACTAGCTCCGTTTTCACTTACTGTGACCTGAAACCAGGCAGAGAACTTGCATGAAGCAGCGAAGGCTGCGTTTCGTCATGTCTGACTCCGGTAAACATAGGTTCCGTGGTGAATTCTAGTGCTCAGGAATCTCTACACCCAAGAGAACTGTTTTCTCCCCTTTTCTAACCTAAGATTAATCAAAGTGTAATTTTGTGGGTACATAAAAATGTCACAAAATGCACAAAATACATTTCTGCACTGAAACTTGTCAACGTCAAACAGAAGTGACTGTTAATAATTTAAAATTCTGGTTTGCAGTGGGCAAAAACTGGGCACAATAATGCTAAAATGGCTATAGATTTAGAAAGTGGAAAAACTAAATGTACAAGTTATAAATAAATAACGCAATAAATGACAGACTTTGACAGTTATCAAAGCAACTAATGATTCTAAAATCCCACTGGCTATAAAGCAAAATGTGATACCCACAGTTCTAAAACTATTCCATGCCAGAAAACTAAAAACAAAGAGTGACCAGCTGTCTTTGAGCCTGCTATTAAATTGCTCCTTGGTTAGTAGCTGTATTGCTTTTTTTTTCAGAAGAGTATCATACTAAGTCCCCATACAGAGCCACCAGCTGTACAGCAAATGTGTGCTTTTCCAACTGGGCCCTAGTAGGCTATAGGCTCCATCTTGAGATATGTGAAGCTCCTTGCAGGCTTGGCAGTCTGTTCCCTGATCTCACAGCTATACCCTCTCTCTCTCGGCTCACTCACTTAAGTTATCTGATTATCATGTAACGCTTAACACCTACACAGAGTATATTTTGATTTTACTCTAGTCAGATTTCATCCTAGCATCATGTCGATATATTAAAATGTCCTGGCAAACGCACAAACTCACGAAGCACACAGCTTTATGAGCAGCGTCCAAAAAAAAAGTAAAGCTGCTTACTGACAAAATTATATTACAACGAGCCAAGATCAGACTGATGTTAAATGCATTGGTGTTTGTTATTCTGCACACTTTGTTTGGACTGAGTCATCTCAGTATAAATAGAATTATCAGTGTGAATCAATACCGCAAGCAGGGCATCAATGAAAACAACACCCATAAGAATGGAACACTTGCTCCATTACCTACGTTAATATCACGACAGCTGAGGAGAGATGACCTGGCCCAGATCTCGCCTCTCCTGTACAGATGGCCATTAAAAGAGAAAGTGTCCCTTTTAATGAAGAAAGTATTTAGAGGGTTTCCAAATGAGAACAGTTTTATCCAAATTGATTTTGCAGTAATTAGAGTTCAGCCCATATTTAACACATTCTTGATCATAGGCATGGTGCAATCTCAGGCTTATGATTAATTTTTCCCCTCAATCACTCTTCAAGTGCACACAGGGTAACAACTCACTGGTTTGCATTTGAAGGTAAATTTTATCACTAAGTAACATTTTTTTTTCCTGTCCCCCAAAAGCTACTTTGAAATTCTAAATATGCTGCAAAACAGTTTTGAAGAAATTTGAATATCAGGTCAAATTAAAATGAAAAACAAAATCTCCATTAACATTTTTATCATGAAAATACAAGTGTTTCCTCTCAAATTTGAGAACTGGTCCCTTTTCATATCTAGGTTTTGAAGCATGTTTGAGATGCTTTACTGCAAGTCGATTCAATCTTCATCTTTCACGAAGGAATCCGCCTACTGTCCTTATCAAAGTTGCAACACTATTTTCTTTATAAATAACACAAACCACATACACACACAAAAAATAATCCACAATGTAGAAGTCTGGGAGTAGGAAATTCTGTGCTCTTGACAGCTCCACTGTAATGCTCTTGAAAGTGCATCTCCATGTTCTTCTGCAGCACAATGATGCCGATGTCTACTGGATTTTTCATCAGCCCTGAATCTTTTACTAGCTAAATCAGAATGGCGGGATTCACTTCAGTAATGCTTACTGTGGCGTTTATAAACATGACATTTCCTTTCCTTCAACACATTTCAAAGTACTTTGCAAAATATGTGGCCATAAAATGTCTGTTTCTCACAGAAAACAGCAAATGTGCAGCTGGATTTAAAAATGCACCGGTTTTCACATTCCTTTAAGTCATGTAAATTGCTGAAGAGTAAAGGTGACCTGTGGTACTTCTGCAGATGAAGAGCTCCAACATTTAAAGAAACAAGATAAGACATCTATCTATATACGTGTACAGTATCTTTGGATTGTTGAGGACAGACATGACAGATAGATGAATGGATGGGCACAGTCAGCTAAAACAGAAAGACAGATGCATATGTACATTCATATATATATATAGTAGGCATAATGAATTCTTCACAACAATAACAATATAGGTTCTTGGCAGCTTTCTTTCTTTTCATCCAGACTGAAACACTAGGAATGTGATGACTGTTGAAACAATCTAGTTACAGTATGATGGATATTCCACAGTGGGGTCGATGAGTATGTGATAAAACTGAAATATAAAAAGGCATAAGCTCAGTTTTAAGCAGCAATAGTACCACTACTCCCCTGCATTCACAGAAACTAGATTAATTTAAACCTGGAACCCAAAACACTTCAAAATACTACAACGTGAACAGAACTGTATGAAGTTATCCAACACAACTGCAGTGGGTTTATTCTCCTCATCCACACAGGGAACCGCTAAAAACATATCTAGATTTCAATTAGATTGTGCATTTTCAATAATGACAATTTGCCTACAATTACTTCTCTGCCGTTTGTATGGATCCTGAAACTTTTATTTTCCCCACTGTGATAGTTCTTGACCAATGATCACCATCCTTTAATTACCTACTTTACTCAGATAGACATTTCTATCACCACAGAGCTGGCAGTGGAACTTGCGACTAAATCCCGAAAGGAGCAAGTGTGTTTCAAACTGCCACTAACAACTGTCTCACAAAAAACTGCAAGCTTAATTGAGAGCTGCAGCCAGTGCAGTACAGAGAGGCACATTCTCCATTTTGGGACTGATCGGCTACAATTAGAAATAATTAAGGCATTCCAAGCTCCTCATATGTTGCTGATAATCCACTGATGATGGCCTGATAGTGATTCTCCTACAGATTTCACAGCTGACAGTAAACAAATCACAAAGTACAGACCAGATACAACAGAAAAAGGAAAACAAGCTCAGAAATGTACAGAAGTTGACAAGATTTTATTTAAATGAACTTCTATAGCAAGAGAATCCAATAGTGACAAATGAACAGGAAAGGTGACATTTCTGTCATCTTAATTACCCGGTACTCATCCTCCGTCTGACCAGACAAATAGCTGTTCTGATGGGCTGTGATTTTGGAATGAGTGATCCTCAGATTTTAATCCCCAGCTGGGTCTGATGCATATCTAAAAGGCAGGTAATTCCTAGTTGATTAAAAATAAAATTGCCACTGGGACTAGACTTTGATTTTTAGTCCCTCAGCTCCTGCCAGTGAGAAGATGGGTGCGGAGAATGGTATAATCCAGTGAAATGCCAAGCAGAATGAAAAAAAAGAAAACCTGCTGGTAACTGTGTAAATGCAATATTTTAATGTTTTCAGGAATTGTTAGGAAAGCAAAGAAAACTAAACAATTACAATCCGTGTAAGTCTCAAAGGTAAAATGGTCTGTTCTGGTTAAATTGTAATTTAAATCAGAAGAAAAACATGTCGTATAATTAATTTGCACAAAATAAAGCCAATATTTAAGAGGCCAATATGACAAAAAGCAGTCTATTATATCAGTATATCTGTCCCTGTGTAAAGCTAAAGATGAAGTCAAGTAAAACTTAACATGGAGTTGTAAGAGGAAACCTAAAACAATATATGAAAAAAATACAGACATGTTTAGCTGCCAAAAATTAACTGCATTAACTGTACTCTATTTCTTGGATAATGCATGCTAATATCCAGGGGTCACACTGACCTTGCATCAGGTATTAAACATATAGCCAACTTAATGATATTTTATAGAAGAACAAGCCTTTTTCAATGCCCCATTTATACAATTACTTTTGCCTTAAAATATAAAGTCAAACAAGATTTGCAGGTCCTTCAAAGAGATACCTGTACAAAGCTACCAGACAGTACCAATAAAACAGTACTTAAAATAATACTATAGACAGAACAAAATTATTTAGTCAATATTTCAATAAGGGCAGCACTGACGAGTAGTGAAAAATGAACTGTGATTAAGATGCAATGTATTTAATTAGATGGAAGGATATCAAGTGGTCCTTGCTTTGCTACATTGCTAAATTACATTAAAAACACCAAAATACAAAAAGTACCTTTTGTGTGATTTGATATGAAAAGTTCCTTTCTGAAGTTCTGTGATGGTGTTGCTATTGAGAAATCAGAGAAAGAGAAATGAAATTGAGGAAACTGGAAATTGTATAATTTCAATTAGTGAATTGTCTAAGTGGAATTCAATAAACTATAATTTTCATTTTAAAAGTGTACATTAATTCTTGAATAATAATAATAATAATAATAATAATAATAATATTTAATGAATAATAATGTGTTATTGTAATGAAAGGACTTAAGGTCAAGGACATTGCTAGTATCACAGAAGACTTAATCTAAAGTAGAAAACGGACTATTAATGACACAAAAGTCTATATGTTGCAAGGAAAAAAAATAAAATCATAACCAAAATTTTAATTTGAAACAATGATTCTTTTTAAATACTGTTTCAAAATAATTTTTAGTTTATGGTATTTGAAAACTGAAGATACTTTTAAACATGATATACATACATATATTTACAGTACATACAGCATATGTTAAGGTATAGTCTATGAAAAAGAGATTAAAAGAGGCAATCACATTTAAAGCAATGGACTTTTTTATGGAACCTGTAACAAAAGGCATTGAGATGAAATTAAAAAGGTTTATCAATTGTGCAATAAGATGAGTCAAATTAATTAAAACATGAGAAAAAATAAATGCCGTATTTAATATTTTAAAAACGCATAGTTTAAAGGAATAAATTAAAACTAGCTGAATTTGAAATGCCAGAACAGCATTGAATAATGTATTAAATAAGCATGAATACATAAATAATCATACTGTACAGTATTTCCCTAAAAATATGTTTACAATTCAAAGTGCTTTGTGAGAAGTTGATCCCATTATTTCCTGGGAAATTAATTCCGAGGTCTTTTCCTCAATCAGCTTCCCGCTGCCCAATGGGCTGAATGGCAGCAACAGCTGCAGTAACAAATGAAAGCAGAGCTCCTGGCCCACCTAACTCCACGCCTTTTTCCAGTAGTTACTTCTGCCGATTTTCTGTTTTGCAATACTTAATAAGAACTCCAAACATTTCTAGACAACTTGTTCCATACTCCCGCTACAGTTTTGATTTAAAAAAAAGCGCCCCCTTAGTCTTCACTGCATTTTCTCTTATTTTTCAGTTTTCTCTTGCTTATGTTTCACTGCCAGTTGTGAAGACGTCCACTGGCTTGAAACTGGTACCTTCACAGTCTTCTACAATGTGTTTTCACATAACACCCCTCGCTTTAAATTCTACACTTTTTAAGTTTCATTGAAAGATATAAATTGGTCAAATCAAACACCTACAGCTTTTTCATAAATAGCCTAGCCGAAGAGCTGCATTTCACATTTTATATTTTATGTTTATATCAATGCTATTTCCATGCAATGTTTGCTAATTCTCTTAGTTTCATATCTCCTGCCAACTTCCCTAGTGTATTAACTATACCAGAACCTATGTCATTGATATAAATTAAGCAGTGGCCCTAGTAGAGATCCCTGTGGTACTCCACTAATTAATTCACTCCTATTTTAGTATCTACCATTTAGCAGTACTTTCTGTATTCTGAGCATTAACTGATCCTTATTTCAAGTGCACGTATTAATATTAAATGACTACTGATGGCAATTTAATAGTTAATACTTTCTAAGAAACTTTTTTAAAGCATTCTTAAAATCAAACAATACATTTTTTGGGTACTTTATGAATTGTTTCTATCAATTGCTGCAGATGCTCTAACTAGTCAACACACACGCACAGCCCTCAGCCACAGTTTGCCATTCATTCATCAGCATCCCAAAGTAAGATACATTCATTTTGCTTTTGGTATTGCATTGTGTGTTCATATTCACTGAGGGATTAACTGAGACCCACAATTTATCTCACTTGTGACAGAAGACAAATTTAAACTCAGAGCAGTGCAGGACAAATGTGTGAAAGACTTAACTTTAATTAGCCTTCTGTGCAGTCAACCACTCCAAAAAGCATGAGCAAAATGAGTACATAAATTTACTTAAAGTCGGCTTCTGAATAACTCTTTTTAGCTACATGGGCCAAATGGCTCCCTTTTATTTTTCCAAACTTTCTTATCTTCTTAAAATTGTGATTTCTAAAGGCTTCCAAGAATAAAGTTATAAAAATCGCTTGATACTTTTGTTAAACAACCCTTGTCTGTTTTGAAACCACTTTGGAAAATGTTTGAGTCCATCAGATTAGGGATAGCTGTTTTACGTTTATGAGATAAACAATTTTCCTCTTAGAATTTTATTTAATCCCTTGAAGAACTGAAGTAATATCTATGAATGATGTTTTGCACTTAAATAATTCATGCACAACTGTCACTGTTGTAACAAAACAACTGGTTATTATGTAAACTATAATCACACTGATAAGACATATTTAGAGACTAGGCTTTATTTTTTTGCTTATACCATAAAAGGTTAATTGTAATTCAAATTTTATATAATAGCTTACGGATCCATTGTGGTCTAATTAGTATTTAAGCTTTTGCATAAACTATATAGTATGTTTATCATGTGCTCAATAATATGTAATTACAGGATCTCCTAAGATTGTATGTAAAGGTAAATTACTATTTACCTACCACCAAGCAAGAACTTTTCAGTTCTGACACACTCAAATCAAGGAAAACTACCAATAAAAAAACTGTAAATGTAACATATTTCAGCCCACTCTTCTAAAAAAAAATTGTAATAGCTCATAAAAAGTCTTAAATAAATAACTTTCTTTAGACTTCAATCAAACACCAACATCAACCATGCTGTATTACCGGAATAAAGCTATTGTAGTCTGTCAATATCAGTTTGCGGTTCCCAGCCATTACGTTTATTACCGATTACTTCTGCCTTGCTAACCATATACTGTATACTGTGTGCTGTATGTAAGCTTATTCATTTACTTTCCTTGGGCAATTTCTGTAAAGTGCTGATGCTTGTAATTTAATAATGTTTTAGAAAACTAAATGCTTCATAATGTTTACTATACACCCCATGTTGTGATGATGATTATGATATTGATTCAAAATATTGTTGTTTTTCCACACACTTAGGTAAACAATAAAGGGATTTTTTTTAAATTCATTATTTCTGTGCTGATGGTTTGTAGGGTTTGACATTTTAGTGGGAAAAATTGCTCCACAATCTTGGCATTAGACCTCAAGCTGTGTTTCAAATATCTGATGCTTATTTTGGGGAAAAAAAACATATTTTTTACGATACATTAAGAGGCATTTCTAACCAGACAGACTAAAGCTTAGGCTACATGATGCCAGGAGAACATGACATGCACAGAAGACTTTCTCCTGTTTACACATAGATTTCCAGAATCAAAGACATTACAAAAAAAAAATCCCCCTTTACATTAAGTAGCATTGTAAAAACATAAAAAGTGAATTTCAAGTGAATTTCATCTTTTTTTTTGCGACTGATGTTAAACAAAATGTTGGCCACATCTCATGACATAGAAATTTCACCACAATCTGTAATGTGTCCTTACAGACAGGAACACCTAGTATTTAGTTTTGTGGTGTTCACCAAATAATAAATAATTAAGAAGGGACATTCTGCATTTTGAGATAAACATATGCAGTTTAGCACTGTTGCAATGCTCTATCCTGGAACAAACAACTGAGTGTGTGGATTACCAGCACTTCAATAAAAATAGGACAAAATATTCTGATACTAATGTAAAATATTACCTATTAATCACAAAATAAATTAAATAAAAAATAATGATTAATATTTTCAGTATAATTTTACTGCACTATAGAATTCACAATGGAACATGTTTACAGAACAGTGTATAAACAATGGATAAGACTGAAACTAATAAAGAAATATTCAGCAGAACCTTGTATATGTTGCAGGTATTTCTCTTTACAAAAATATTGTACATTAGAACACTTAGCCCAGTAAAGCAAAAAGAAAAATACAACTGCATTTCTTGTAGTCATGAATCTAGTTTTACAATTAACCAATACAATAATTTGTTGCTTATCATTTATTAAAGTTTGAAATGCTAAAATTAGTGCAATATGGTCACTTTTTAATGTATATGTATAGGTAGAACAGTGTTTTAAACACCTATTTCATTTTAACTAAAGTCGCTGTTTCTGCATTTCTATTTGCATCTCTGCTATAAAATCCTGGATGACTAAAAATTTCCTTCACTCAGACTGTAACAAAGCTGAGGCCTTCACCTGTGCAAAGCCAATGCAGTAATCCTACCTGTGGATGAAGCTGTGCTTGAATTTCAACCACAAGTGAAGAGTTTATGGGTGGTATTTGATCCTGGCTCGACTTTTGACCCTTATACTGAATACTGTAAAAACATAATTCTTCCATCTCTGAAATTTTGCCAGACTATGTCCTAAGTCGCATTTGACTGCAGTAGGAAAGCTGGTCAACACATTTGTCATTTCTAGAATTGATTACTGCAACATCCTACAGGCACCGAAAATCCGATATCTGGCAGTCAGAATCCTGATCTCGTCACATGCAAATGATCAAATTACACCCTTTTTGGAGCCTTTACACTGGTTTCCTATCATATTTCGAGCAATCTTCAAAATCCTCACGCTCACCTGTAAGGCTCTACTGTACGTGGCTTGGCACCTCAGTACCTGTCTGGCTTATTATATTTCTACTCAGCACCTCAAAGTCTTTGTCTGACTGTATGTCCCTAAAGCTCTTTTACACTCTATGAGTGAGAGGGCCTTCTCTTGCTGCACTCTGGAGCTCTGGAATTCTACCTCCAAGGGTATCAGAGAGTCACCTACCCTGAGTGCACTTAATTCTAGACTTAAAACTTTTCTTTTCAGAAAGGCTTTTATTTAATCAGTGGCTGTGTCTGCATCATTTCCTAATGACCACGGATCTTCTGCCTCATGTTTCAT